GTGACACGAACCGTTCCCAAAAACAGGCGGAGTGTTGCGTGACTGGTCTCAGCAGCCAGCCGGAATCTCCGACGGGAAGGAAGGAGAAACCGATAGCATTCATTGCTTGTCCGGGTCTCGGCCATTGGAGGTTGAGCTCATCGAGCTATCCTTTTCATCGCGTTTAACCCATGCAAGTCTCTGGTAGACAGGGTTGTCTCGATGCCATCTCACAAGCGCGCCCTTTCTACCTCACCTCACATTCACCATTCGATGCCCTGCGTCTTAACCACCTTGTCTCCCGGGCGCTGATACCTACTCTGTTTCCCAGCTATCTCTCACCTCACCATCCTCCATCTCAGATTTCATCAAAATGCCTCACGCAACAGAGCCCCCCGCGCCCGACGCGGAGGATACCGCCTTCGAGAATGTGATGCGACAGATGAACGGTCCCTTCGGGGAAGGCGACATGTCGTTTGATTTCCTCTCCCGCGATTTGGAACCTGGCGAAAAGGCAGACGACGCGGTGGACTATGAAGATTTCGATGACGACGAGCTACCCGAGGAAGAAGAGCGAACCGGGCCGCCCGCCGAAAATGGACTCGGGGAACAAGAAGACGATGCAGATAAAGGCTTGTTTGAAGCGGAGGAGGATGATCTCTTCGGTGGCCAGGAGGACGAAAATCAACAACCACCGCGCGATGAACTGGACGACCTGTTCGGCGATGGCCCCTCTTCTCCCCCAGCGGACCATGCCGACCCAACACGAGATTTGTTCTTCGAGGAGGAAGGAGAGGGTGAGAAGCCAGCAGAGGCTCCTGAGCCTGTCGAACCTGCGCCCGTGCAGCCCGAACCCGTGCCGATGGACGAAGACGAGGATGAACCTATGCAGGAAGATGAGGCGTTGAGTCCCACAGCGGAGGATATGGACCCGGCTTCTCTTCGCGCCTGGAAGCTCCAGCAGGCTCTGTTTGCTATGTCGTCTTATGGTCCAGAAAACGTGCCTGCGCCGCCGGAGAATGTCGAGGAGCTGTTGCATTCGTTGTTCCCTATGTTCGATAAGAACGCTCTCCCGCGTTTCCTTGAGTTGATTCCCCACAAGAAGGCCTTCTTTGTTGGAAAGCAACCCCTCAAGCCCCCGAAGCCGGTCATCCCTAATAAGGTGAACATCGAACTGGCTCATGACCAAGAGCGATCGTTCAAGTCTGGAGGCCAGTCGCTCAAACGTTCGCTGGAGTCGGAGCATTCCGGCGTAGTTCCCGTCTTGGAGGCAGCCCAGGAGGAGGAACAGGAGATTAAGGAAGAGTTTGATCAGGACACGGATACGGAGGAAGTGCTTCCTGGGGGTATAACCCATCATGACCTTCGTGTTGTCTGCGCGGACTGGGATGTGAGAGATGACTTCTCCATCATGGACGTTGAGGAGGCAGAGGTTAAAGAGGCCGATGTTGATATGGAAGACGACTGGCTTCTAGAAACCACCCGCCCCGCGAAGAAACGGAAAATTGGAAGAGATCCGCTTGAAATCGTCGCCTTGTCCCACATCGATGTACCTGTGATTGACGACCCGCAACAAGCCACTTCCCGCATTGCTCAAAAGGTCACAGTCGACATGAACGATCCTCACATTCTCCTTGACGAGCGAGGTGCGGAGGCTGCTGCGCAGAAGCCAAAGGCGCTGGGTGCTCTTAAGCGGGACGAGTTGGATGCCAGTGTGACTAAACGCCTGACCTCACGTTACAACATTTCGAACGACCAGGCATACGATATGCTGAAACAGAACCACCAGAACAAGGTTCGCAGTACCCTAGGCAACGTTACCTTGGAGCACAGTATGCCTGCCCTGCGTCTGCAATGGCCTTACTACAAGACCGAGCTGTCCAAGGCCGAAGCGCGTTCTTACCATCGTCCTGCTCTCTCTTTCCGGCCTGGACAGACCTGTTGGTTCAAAAACCCAGCTCATATCAAACGAAAGCACCAAAAGGGCAAGGACGTCAAGCAACTCTACGATTCTACGAAATCGCTCTCTTTGGCTGACAACTCCAACGTTCTGCTGGTGGAATACTCCGAAGAGGTTCCACTCGTGCTGTCGAACTTCGGTATGTCAAATCGGATCATCAATTACTATCGGAGAAAGAGCATGGAAGACCCCACTCGCCCCAAGGCTGAAATAGGCGAAACCGCGGTTCTCCTCCCCCAGGATAAGAGCCCCTTCTCCATCTTCGGACACGTGGATCCTGGCGAGGTGACACCGGCCATTTCGAATTCTATGTATCGTGCCCCATTGTTCGTGCACGAAGCCAAGAAGACCGACTTCTTGATCGTGCGTAGCAGTACTGGCTCTGGTGGCAGCGATTATTACATCCGTAACATCGAGAACCTCTATGTTGCCGGTCAACAGTTCCCGTCGGTAGACATTCCTGGACCCCATTCACGAAAGGTCACAACGGTGGCCAAGAACCGGATGAAGATGCTGGTCTACCGCTTGTTGAAAAAGAGTCCGGACCTTCGGCTCTCTATCAGCGATGTCACCGCGCACATTCCAGGAACCAGCGATATGCAAAATCGACAAAAAGTCAAGGATTTCCTCCAGCACGACAAAGACTCCAAGTACTGGGTGCCGATGGAACCTGTGCCGGAGCAGGACGTGATTCGGTCATGGGTCCAGCCCGAGGACGTTTGTCTGCTTGAATCCATGCAGGTCGGTCAGCAACATTTGCACGACACTGGTTTTGGCAATGATGCTGAGAAAACCGGCAATGAAGGCGAGAAAAAGGAACGGGAAGACGAAGACCGAGATGGCGACGAGGAAGGTGAGAGCTTCGAGCAACAGATGGCACCATGGAAGGCAACCCGCAATTTCCTCCTAGCATCGCAGGGCAAAGCAATGCTCAAGCTACACGGTGAAGGTGATCCTACGGGGCGCGGCGAAGGCTTCAGTTTCATCAAGACATCGATGAAGGGTGGCTTCAAGGCGGTTGGCGAGAGTGTGGAAGATAAGCTCGATGCCCAGCGGCTCAAAGAGCTTGGGGGCCACAGTTACAATGTTGCCCGGCAGCAGAAGTCATATGAAACGTCCATCCGACGCATTTGGGATTCCCAGAAGGCCAGTCTGTCTTCAACAGTCGAACATTCGGACGAGGAAAGCGACATTGACCGCGAGGAAGAGGAGGAGTTCGGCAAGCCGACCCCACGATCAGAGGCTCCCACTCCTGCTCCTTTCCGCCGTGACGACGAGACGATGAGTCAATTCAGCAGGATGAGTATGCCCGCAGACCAAAAGGGTAAGGTTTTGCGCATTATGCGGACGCTCAGAGACGAAAAGGGTCAGCTCTACCAGAAGGAACAAATGATCTGGGATCCCCGGGTTATTCGCCACTACATCCAGCATCGGCATCGGGTGGAGGCACTGACCACCAAGTAAGCACACCCCATCAACCTCTAACATCTATCAGACTAACCAACCTTCCTAGACTTGAGTCCCTTCAGCCAACAGGCGACAAGGAGATCGACGCTCGTAACAAGAAGCTGTACGTTCAAAAAACACCAAATACTAACAACTTCCCCCGCCCTCTATTCCCTCAAAGACCAACTCACAATCTAACCTCCTACAGCCTGGAAGCCGAACTCAGCCGTCTCAACCGGAACAAAGAACGACGCTTCGCTCGCGAGAAGCAAAAGGGTGCAGCCCGCGCATCCGCAGGCGACTCCCCGGCCGATGGCGGCAAATCCGCCGGTACACAACGGAAGTGTGCCAACTGCGGCCAAGTCGGCCACATCAAGACAAACAAAAAGTGCGTATGCCATAAATCAGGTCCCTCCTTTGGATTTCCAAACAACCCTTCAGATTTCGATCTCCCCTTCTTTACCAAGAATCCGTAGTCCTTTCCAAGGATCCCGTACTGTCAGGTTCGACTTCATAATTTCCTGGTGCTAGCCATTCTCAGCCCAGGTCGAGGTCCCGCCGACTACTATGGCCCAAGAGACAGAGGACTATTCCCTTTACCCTACCCTACACATCCCCCATCTAGCATACACCCTTCTCCCAACTTAACAGCAGTTTATATCACTCCCCACCCTGCAAGGATTGATCTTTTCATGCAACACATGCATTTGACACAAAGCGCAAACAAAAACACAAACCATTCACAATAGCAACAGAAAGCAAAAGGGAAAAAACACAAACAAGCAGCACGCTAACCAATCTCCACCAATTTCTTCTCGCCTACAGACTTTGCCCCCTTCTCAATGGTACCATGAAACCCGAAGACCGCGTCACCGATTCCGCCTTCGCGATGGGTGCTCCGCCCGCGCTGTGATTCTTTCACAACATTTACCTCCACGATATACCTATCTCAATTTTCTCCCTCCCTCCCCTTCTTCCCCCTCTCCGGCCATCGCCGTACACGTACGCAGAAAGACCAACCTCTCGTACCGCTTTAATTCATATCTTCTCTCTCTCCACCCCTCCTTCCCTCTTCGTGATACCCTACCTTTTTCTCGACTCCAACATGCCTACATACCGACTCTCACTTGCGTCTGTTTTCGCTGGTATACCTAATTCTTGCCATTCAAGGTAAAGCGACACTTCGATATATGTGGGTGTTAGAGTACGGCTTCTTTTTTTCAAGTTCATACTTTGTTTACTTTCTTCGCCTTGCAATATTGCATTGGGTGGACTATTGAGGGTCGCTTTTGTCAGACTGACACTTACACCTGGAGTTTCAAGGCGACGGGGATGGATGGTTGGATGTGTTCTATGATGTCTGAGTTATGAAAAATGGAAGATACCTTTCCTTTTCCTTGATAAAAATTCTCATTGGCACTGGCATTGCGGTGAAAGATAACATGTGCATCTGTCATGCAAGATAGTCAATAGTACGTCATAGCCAGTCAAGTGTGTTCCGTATGGATAGGAAATTTAGGCCAGAGTAACAATGAGAGGCAAGAATACGTTGCGAAGAATACATCGTGATTCATGACAAGGTGGTGAATGAATATCAGAGCAAGACAACAGCTTTCTAACCGTACAACTCCGACAGATGGCCTCGTGCCAGTAGTCCTCGCCCGCGGTCTGAGGCCAATGCCATTGCAACGGCATGAGGTCGGCGATAGGTATATCCCAAGAATGCACCCCTCTTGCGCATCTCCAAGACCGTCATGCGTAGTTTGCGGTCTCGCAGCAGCTTGTCCCGAGGTCGCTTCTTGTCCCTCCCCTTGCGGCGGTTTTTCTGGGGAGGCTTGCTTGCGAGGGGACTCAGCAGGCTGTCAATATCCTGATATTGGGGTGGGTCTCCCCGATTCTGGTGGCACTCATCTCGCTCGCCTACCTCGCTGGAAGGATCGGCATGCTCTGCGTCTGAGGCTGCAGAGGCCTCGTCGTAACCATGCTCATATCCCGCGTCATCGAAGTACCGGGTATCTTCCCAGCATTTGACCTTGGGAACGAAAGGGGGCATTGACTGGTGGATTTCATTCCAGTTGATACAGCAAAAGAACGAATGGCTCTTGATGTCTGTTGCGTCATTGGGGTATACATAAAACCCGCGGTAATTTTTGTTGCGAGGGTCCATGCTGTACAGCGGATGCTTGGCTGCCAGGCGAAAGGTGACGGAGTCATTCACGCGATACTTGTTGGAAGACAAGCGGTGTTCCTTCTCCTGCAAAAGATGGTTTATCAAGTCGATCGCTTCAGCAGAAACGAGCTTATCGGATGGTCGATTTGGGAAATGTAGGGTTTGGAGATGATGCTTCAAGCACTCAGTAATCCCTCACCTGCACACCAGCGAAGGGGTGCTTACATGAATTTTTAACTTCGTCTTCTGGCGATCATCCGAAGCAAAGGGGGTGAAGCCATACAGGCACTGGTACCGATGTCAACGTCTGCAGCCTCTTCAGCAACAGGGTATGTCTTACCTCGTATAGGATAATGCCAATACTCCACCAGTCACATCTCCCGTCGTACAGCTCTCCGCGAACCACCTCGGGGGCCATATACTGGTTGGTCCCTACGATGCTTCCAGCTAACCGCCGTTTCTGTGTGCGATCGCGCCATCCCAGGAGACCAGCAGTGGGAGGCATCCACCCGGAGTCGTCAACCGGTCCCGGATCCAGCCCACTGGTGGACTCTGCCATCCTTTTCGCCTCGGTCTGGTCAAGGGCATCACCGTCTACCCGGATCCCGAGCCGCTTGAGGAGGGTGTGGCGGTGGTCATTGTAGTAGACCTGATCGTGTGCCCAATGCCCATCAAAGGCCAGGCCAAAGTCCGATATCTTCAAGTGGCCAGAAGCCGAGATCAGAAAGTTGTCCGGCTTGACATCGCGGTGGATCCAGCACAGTCGATGGGCCTCTTCAATGCAGAGAATCATCTCAGCAATGTACCATCGGGCAACTGTCTCGGGCAACATGTTTCGACGCATCAGCAAGCCGAGGAAATCCCCGCCCACCATGTAGTCCATGATGAGGTAAAGGTGGTTCTGATCCTGGAAGCTAGCTATCAAAGGTACAATCCAGCGAGATTTGGCCGACGCCACCAGGAAGTCTCTCTCGGCTCGCAAGTGACCTTCCTGGCTGTTACGGATCATCGCCGACTTGCGAATAACCTTCATCGCGAAGACATCCTTCTTCACACCAGTCATGATTCTACGTCGGCTGCTCTTGGTCCCATCACTCACAGACCGAAGGGATTCCGGCCTATGTGCTCGAGTGTTTGTGGCTTCGTTCCTCCAGCGCAAGAGCTTGTCTTCTGAGTCGCCCTCGTAGCTTGTCTCCTCTTCCTTCACTTCCTTCACGAGGCGCACGACCCCAAAGCTACCCCGTCCAAGCACTTTGATAACCTCAAACCCAGCGAGAGACACAGTCGTATCATGGCAACCGCCGCCATGAGACCGACTCTTGAGGACGCGACATTGGCGGAGGTAATGGCGCTCCTGGGTGATCCAGTTGTCCCAGATGCGTGCTCGTTCTTCGGGACCCAGTGGCAGTCCATACATATATTGTTCCAGCTCCTGGCGACGCTGTGAACGAGGGTCTGTCCCACAGAATACGTTGTTAAAGTAAGTCTCGAAGAACACTTTGGCATTGGCAGCAGCTTCAACCGTAACAATCGACGGTGATGTCCCTGATACTTCGGACGAGCTCGAAGCTTCTTCCACCGGATGGGGTGGATGTGAAGTTTGTGGTAAAGCTTTGACTAAACCGCCAAGAGCCTGTTTCGAACCCCGTGATGGGTCCTCAGAAGTGGGAGGAGTGGACTGTGTACCCAACGGCGACACGCTGCTTATGGGAGATGTCGACGGACTCGAGCTGTCATTGGGGCTCTCCGCCGGTCTTCTTGGACCTGGTGAGGAAGCTGGAAATTGCACCGGCATTATGTTGAGCGGCGAACGAAGATGCGAGCGACGAATGACAGTGGGATTACCGAATGTCGTCGAAAGTCTCGTTGTCACCATGCTAGTCAGGACAGCGGGCGTTGACTTGCTTCGTTTGACCGCGGTTACTGAGCCGCTGTGTAGCTCAGGCGTCTCCGACTTCCGTAACTGTGCTGTATCGACCGATTGTTCTGGGGAGACCGCCTCGCTCGAAGTAACAGATGCCATGAAAGTGTCAGGCGATGGAGTTATACAGCCGTGGGTGATGCAAGTCAGCAGTTCCCCATGGCGTTGCTCTTCTTCCATGGCAGTGCTGCTAGAATGGGCTCGGTTGTCAGCTGGAAGAGAGTGAAACGACTGTGATGGGTTGCTATCGCTCGAGGGTTTCTGTGGGACAGTGGTTTCACGAGTGGTAGCTGTTTTCAATACTGGGTCCCGAGTCAGCCTTTGGATGTCTGTTTCACCATGATTCACAGCCTTACCAGCAGGGGGGCCTCGAAGCCCCAGTAGAGAGAGGATCCTAGAGCTTCGTTGTTTGATGCGATCCCGGATGCTGTTACTCTTGCGCTGAGCTGCCTGATACTCCGCATCGGCTGAGATGGTTGAGACGCTGCCGGATAGTTCCACGGTGGTGTCCATGGCGCGGTCTGGGTGTGGTGGGCTGCCACTGGAAATGGAAGAGGTGGTGTCGGGCGTGGGGTGGACGATCATCGCAATGGACGATCAAGGGACTGAATGAGTCGGGCCAGTGAATAAAATATGCGCTTCCTGAAGAGGATTGATATGGGATCTTAGCGAAAGGGGGTGGTATGAATGAGAGATTGGGGATATGCGCGGTATTGGTAATCCCCAGAGAGCAACGTTGGACTCAGATGCTGCATGTGTCGGCATACCATCTTTACGAACATATGAGAGTGATGGTGAAAAATTCTACAAGGCAGAGTATGGTGCAGAGGGCTTCATCCACGGCAGGCACGACGGGACGAAGACTGCACATTTAGGGCAGGAACAGAGCAAGCTCTACTTGGACACTACAAGAGCAAGGACGGCACCCAAATGAATCAAACCAAACACTTTTTATTAGACAAAGATAGTTGGATGGCTTGCAATATCCTCATTCCTGCCAATATGCATCGGAAGGCTGTGCAAGAGAAAAACAAGTCGGATATCACAGGACTGATGTCAGATTGAACGAACCCCCAAACACCGGTGAAGCAAACCCAAATGGAGTAACAGACACAGACAGCTAGATGTTAGTAGGGGGACTCAGATCTATTTGATCTCGAGAAGCTTGACGTCGAAGATCAGCTTGGAGTTGGCGGGGATGCCGGGGAGAGCACGCTTGCCGTAGGCGAGGTGAGGGGGGATGCTGATGCGACGCTCACCACCGACAGCCATGCCGGCGACACCGATGTCCCAACCCTTGATGACCTCGCCCTTGCCGAGCTTGAAGGTGAAAGGCTTGCCCTTCTTGTTGGCTACACGGAGAGTTAGCACCAGAACTTTCTGCTCTTGTTATAGGACTCGTGACTTACCATCAAAGACCTTGCCGTCCTCGAGCTTGCCGATGTAGCGCATGGCAACGGTGTTGCCAGCCTTGGCGGCGACACCCTGACCCAGCTTCTTGTCGTCAATCTTGACGCCCTTGACCTCCTTGACACCCAGGGTGCCGGTGGACTTCTCAGCAGGCTTCTGCTGGGTGGAGCCAGTCGGGCCCTGCTCAAGGTTCTTGGCGAACTGGACCTTCTTGGCCTCCTTGCCCTCCTTAGCTTCCTTCTTCTCCTCAACGGGGGCGGCCTCGCCGTTGTTCTTCTTCAGCTTCTTCTGCTGCTTCTTGCTGAGGGCGGGCTCAGGCTTGGCCTCCTCGGGCTCAGCAGCGCGCTTGCCCTTGCCCTTGGTCTCCTTGGACTCAACGAGCTTGGGGGCTTCCTCCTCCTCGCTGTCGACCTCGGTGATACGGGGGTTCTCCAGGTCGTCGAGGTCATCGCTCTCGTCATCCTCGCCGATCAGGTCCTCCATGTCGAGCTCATCCTCATCGGGAGAAAGGTCGTAGTCCTCCTCATCGGACTCCTCGTCATCATGGTCATGGTGGTGGTCGTCGGTGGGCATGACATAGTTACCAGTCAGGTAGATGGTGTGGGTACCGGTAACCTTGAAGAAGACGGGCTCCTCCTCGTTGACAACGATGTCGAGAGGCTGCTGGCAGTTCTACATGGGGGTTAGCGCGCATACTCGGACGAAAAAACTCGTTGGAAGTTTCGCATACCTTCTCGGGGTCCAGGGTACAGATGACAGTCTCGTCGAGCTCAAGGCCCTCATCGGACTCGACATCAGACTCCTCGTCATCGTTGGCGGGGGCCTTGCCCTTGATCAGCTTGGAGATGGCGGCCTTGAGGTCGAACTCGCCCTCCTCGTCGTCCTCATCCTCGTCATCATCCTCATCCATGGCATCCTCGAGCTCCTTGCGAGCGGCAGCCAGCTTGAGCTTGCGAGCCTTCTCCTTGTCGCTGGGACCACCGTTGACCTCCTCGTCGTCCTCGGAATCCTCATCCTCGTCATCCTCCCAGTCCTCGTCATCATCGTCCTCGCCCTCAAGGTCGAGACCAGGGGGAGCGCGCACAAGCTTCAGGGTAGCACGGGGGCGCTTGTTGGAGTCGAAACCGTCCTCGTACTCGGGAGCCTCATCGGGGTCAATGGCAGCCATGCTGACACGGAACTGTCGCAAACGGTTAGAAACGGGAATACAATGGGCTCAATGGCTACAAATTTGGCTACTGACCATGGCAGAGAACTCCGGAACGGCGGGGATCAGAGCGCCATTGGCGGGGACGCGCAGGGCGTAGACAGCAACGGGCGTAACACCGGACATCTTGACAAGAGATTATACAGATGCGAACAAGATAATAATAGTAAAGAAAAAAAGAAGAAGAAAAATCAGACCAAAGAATGGATGGTCAAGAAATGATGCAAGGGAAAGAAAGAAAGATCGTCTACCCGGAAAAGCGTGGTAAGGACGAGGAAAAGCAAGTGAAGGGGAGAGGAAGAAGAGGAAGAAGGGAAAAGTTTTGATGCTGGCAGACCTCCCGCCGCTTCGATGGCAACCGTTTCCCGCTGCTCTTATTTTTTTTCTGCTACTGACTTTTTCCCGCAGCCAATCAGAGACATCAAAAAGGCGGATCTGCCGCGGCTCACCGCTGTGGATCCTGCCACGTCACGTGGTAAAGCTCACCGCTTTCTGTATCACATGATGAGCTGATTTCCTGTTTGGGATAAGAACATTCCAGTCACTTCAAATAATCAATCTATCACCACAAGAACGTGTGCCAGACCCCATTGGTTCATGCACACTGCTGATCCACTCAATCCAATGCCTCATTTACTCGCAGTCAAATAGTGCCAGTGGTGACCGCTCAATGCCGTGGTTACGGTAATATGGCACTCCTTGTTATTCCTATCACCCGTACATGCATACTGTAAATGAGAACATGGCTCTCTATCTCTTCTCGAAATAAGATGGGAACATTCTGTGTCTGTCAGATTGGAATATTGTAAGAACATCTTGTACTGGACGTATAGTAATCGAAACCTTGAGTTCAAAGACTAGTCGGCTATATATAACCTACTAGGTCCACCCCTAGTCTTTATATATATCTACGCCGGCACCACCTTGTGGCGGATCAAGGGATTACTACCGTGATAATATTTTGACTAATATTTATTGGCATAGTCTACTCCACGCAGTATTAGGGAAGCAAGGAACTGTAGCAATGGAAACATACTATAATCCGAAGTGACTGTGCAAACAAAATTCAACCCTAACCAGCATACTGTGTATTCACTGATGTCCGATCCTACTACCAAGTAAAAAGTCTAGATCTTGCATCTACTTCGCACTTGAGTCACATATCCATAATATAATCATCTCAAAACAGCCAAATCCAACTTAAAATCACAAATACCACTGACTGATACCATATATAATCTACCTCAAACCCACGCAACCTCCCTAAACCACTCCACCATCTTGCCCACCAAACCCCCCTCCAACCCATCCACACTCAAACCCCTCAACCCCTCCGCCCTCTCTCTCGCCTTGTCCGTCACAAATTCCAAACCCCTAAACGGCTTCTTACTCCCATACTTCCCCTCCCAGAACCCAACCAACTTAACCGGCGGATTCTTCTCCGGATCCGCCACATCCCTCACCCGCTGAATCCACTCCCCAAACTCCACATCCTCAAACTCCAACCCGGCAGCCCTCAGAGCAGGAAGTAGATCCTGTGTCCAATGGAAGCTGTACGGATTCAGAATATTATACACCTCCACATCATCCACCCCCTTCTTCCTCCCCTCTCTTTCCTCCTGATGAAGCGTAACATCCATCACTGCCCCAGCAACAACATCGACCGGCACCCACCGCATCCTCTCATCCAATCTCGGCAACGCCCCCACCGTAACCGCAGCCCTAAGCATCAGCGGAATTGCCTCCGTGGCATTCCATACCCCGTGCTTAGTATCGCCGATGATCTGCCCAATACGGAGGACACGGGCGTCCAGGTAGGGCGTGGCGTTAGCGCAGATGTGTTCTGCGATGAGCTTGGACTGCGCGTAGCCCATGGATTGCGCGGCGGTAAGGGAGTCTGGGAGGGATTCCGGGATGGGGGAAACGGTGCTGTTTACGACACTGCTGACGGAGGAGCAGAAGTTGAAGGTGGCGGGTTCGGGGCGCTGGGCTTTTAGGGCTAGAGTGAAGAGGTTATGCAGGGTGGGGAGAGTGTCGTGTGCTAGACTGCTGAGTTGGAGGTTGAAGTTGACGGGCCAGGCACAGTGGATGATGTCGGTGGTTTCGGTAAGGAGGGTGTTGTAGGTTTCTTCCGGGAGGGAGAGAGTTGGGTGAGATAGGGCTGGGGCGGGGAGGGCGATGAGTTTGGCTTTGGAGGAGGATGAGAGGGGTGTGTAAAGGTGGCGGGCGTGGAGAGCGTCGTGGAGGCGCTTGTAGGCTTCGATGGGAGAGGAGGCGCGGATAAGGCAGTAGACTTTGTTCACGGAGGGGTTCTGCGCGAGTTGATGTGCAACGTGGCTGCCGAGGGAGCCGGTGGCGCCGGTGAGGACCTGTGATGGTTAGGAGGGTGTACTTGTTGAGATAGTAAAGGTGACTTACGACGTAACGACCGGGAAGGTCATTAGGACGTGGAACATGTGGTTCAAAGTGACTGAATTGTGAGATGAGTGCACGCATCTGTTCAGGGATCGGCTGAGAATCTGGAAGGGCTTCTCCAGACTGTACAGCGGCTAGGAAACGGGCGAGCACGGCAATAGTGGGCTGCTCGAAGGCAATATTGAGCCCAAGTTGTTGGCCCTTGGTGTCCAAGTTCTGGACGAGCACAGTGCGCAGTTGGCTGGCTTGTAGGGAGTCCATGCCCAGCGAGAAGAAATCGGCGTCATCTGTCAACAGGCTGGTGTCTTTGAGGGGCAGAATTTGCAGAATTTGCTTCTTAAGGAAGTCCCTCAGTTCAGGCTCAGACAGAACTAGCGTGCCAGTCATGGCGTCCACAGCGGCATAAACCTCTTCAATCAGAGGTTGGAAGTTCTTGTAGAAGGCTTGACGGATGATGGTGCCCTTGTCAGTCCGAGGGTAGGGAGTGTCTGCAGGCAACACTCGGACCATATTCTTCGAGAGTTGTCCAAACGCAGGGAGCGCCTCATGAGCC